TGTTGAGCTCTGGCAACAGTCCTTGTATATATTGACATTTATTTAATAGTGTTTGTAGATCATTGTAAAACTCGTCAAACGATTCATTCGAGCCTTGTACTCGTTTGTGGAATTCATATTCATGCACAAATATATTTGAACTGCCACATACCTGGCGTTTAAAAGATTCAATAAGAGTTTGAACATCTTGTTGTCCTAAGTTGTTCATTCGTTTGATAGTATCATCACTAAGTACATTAATAAAGAGAGCTTTTTGAGTTTCATTTGAGAGTTCATAAAACCGAGTAATCGTCATAACAGAGTCCCATCGTTGTTTCCATATCTCAAATCCTTCAGGAGAACAACTGCTAATGTCAAGCTTAGTAAGTTTTCCGATTTCCGCCGAGATAAATGGTAGATTTACACTTGTTCCAGAGGCGCCATCGCCAGATTGTTGAGAAGACTTTTTCGGTGGCATTTAGATAAAATTACGGCCGAGAAACTCGAATAGTCGAAATTCCCTGCTTCCTTTAATCCATAGAAAACACAAGAAACATATAACTTTCACTATGAAAGCAGGACTGATCAGGATTGATCAAGATATTTTCAAGATATTTTCGACTACGCCATGTTGTATTTTAGAATAATTTATTATAATTTATATATAATTATTTACAATGTTCCTAATATATTATATAAGTAAATGTACTTCATGTAACATAATGTAAAAGCAATAATACCACAACATCCAAAATGATTTTTTATCTCATTGCGAAAAATAACCAAAATGGGTAAAATATTAGCAATATCCGCCATTTTTTGATAGGCGGTCGTGTTCAATGGGGCCAAAAAACAGCATTTTGGATATAAATTTAACTCTTTTGTTATTTTTAGGTTAAAGAAAGATAAAATTTACTAAAAGTAAACTTATAAGGTAATGGCAGTTAATCGACAGAATTTCTGAGGGTTGCGCCCTATCAGCGCACACCCGGTCAGTAGTGTATATAGGCCGGTTCTGGGACATCACTCCAGTACCTATCCCCTAACTTGTAAAAATGTTTCATGTAAAAAAAATTATAGTGTACCGCGCAAGTTTGGGGATGCTCGGAATGGGAAATTCCTTCTCCCAATGCGCTTCCTGGAAAACGAAATTCCTGGAATAAAAACTATGACGTCACTTCCGGCCTCACAATTCCTCACGCCCTACCGGCAAACCACTGTCCCCCGAACACCTCTTCCCCCACTCGCGCACACCCTCCGCAACAACTTCCGCAGGTCCTCCGCAAGACTTCACCCCACGCGCCGTTGGAGTTTTCTTAAAGTCTTCTTAAAGTCCTTCCGGGGTCTTCCCATCCGCAAACGGTTTAAAGAAAAAGTTTCTATATAAAAAACAAACCATGTCCATTTCCATAACCAGAGCAGAAAACTTCTCCGAAAAATACTATGAATTTGAGGATCCCGTTGGGAACAGATTTGGATCCGAAAAGATCGGATTTGTAGCGGAGGATGGCGGACCCCTTCTGCTTAGTCTGAGGAACTGTTTAGCCTACGGAATCAACAAAAACAATAAGTTCGGAAACGAGAACTTTAACATCCCACTGGCGGTTGGGGAGCACAAGGATTTCATATCAGCTCAGGAAACATTGGAGAAGAAATGCGCCGAACAGGTCGGAAGGCCTGGAACAAACGTCATGAGATGCTTCTACAGGAGCGGGAATCAACCCGTCCTGTACGCAAAGATCGACAAAACCACGGTGATGTACAAGGATGGAGGAGGGGACATGGATCCGTAGAAGGCGATCGACAAACATTTCTACCTGGATACCCTGATCTGGATCCCAAGCATCTGCGTGTCCGCAGGCGTGGTATCAGTTCAAGTGCTTCTTCAGGAGGCCGTGTATCTGAGGGAGAAGGTTGTGGAACCCTGGAAGAGGCTCTTACGGTCTTGTTAGAATTTTAATGTTCCTTCGAATATTAAAATCGGTTCGCCCGGATCCCTATTGCCTTAGGTTCTTGTGTCTGATCGCCGTTGTGTTTATTCCGTCCTCGTTAACGACCCTCTTGTAGTCGTTTGTCGATAAGGCTACCTTGACGACACTTTCCGTATACATTTCGTGCAGCTTACTCCTGAAGACGTTCATTCCTCTCCATTGTTTCTTGCCGCTGAAGAGGCACTCTTTGTAGTTATCGAATGTTATTTTTTTCTTGATGACTAACTTCTTGATACCTTTACACTTTTTTCCTCATCCCCATGTTCCGCCATCTTGTAGGCGTATAGTTTCGAACTTAGTCCCACGAATTCCTTGATCTGCTTTGCGTGCGCCTGTTTCCAGCTTCATCATCCCGATAACCTTCTTGTTAACACCTGTTGGGATTCCGGATGGATAGCTCTTACCAAGTTTGCTGGTGTCGAATCTTTCGTGAACGTCGCCGGATATGTCCTTGAAGAAATCTTCGGTATTAATTTCATAACTCAGGGAGTCTGTGTCTGTGAATAGGAGCTTGGCATCATCCTCATACTTTGGCTTGGTTTAGTTGTAGTGGAAGTCGTACATGATGGTCTTACTAATGTCCAGGATACTCATCCCTAAGTAGATAGGTTTGTTCAGTTTTATGGACGTCCTCCTCATGTGAACTGCTACGAGGCTTTCGGAAAAGATGGTTGCAGATTTAAAGTTGTGCTTTTGAAACAGATTGTTCCATTTCTTTTCATCATTGATAAGCCTGATGTCAACTCTTTTTCTAACGTTCTCCGTCGTCTTTCCGAATACGGAGTTGTTCATGAAGTTAAAGAAGTCATTTTCTAAGTCTGTAGTACCTTTGGTTCGCAGGTCCTTGTTAAGTTGGATATATTCTTTCATCCAGTCCTTTTCGAAGAATTTTACTCCGCGGTGGACCTTAGTAAGCTTTAACCCGAAGCTCAGGTATTGTTTCAGGTTCTTGTGGTGGAGGACGCATTTTTCCTTGTTGTTGAGGTTTGGAATGAGCTTTTCCACCTTGTTAACCGTTATCCTTTCGGATGCGAGAGGGTATTCGTTGTGCTTGTCGTGTAGGTCGTCAGGGTATTCCAGGTCCACTTCGAGGATGCAGCCGTGGTCTGTCCACTTTTTCAACTCCTCACCATCCATCCATCCAAAGTCCCTGATGGGTAGGGGTTGACTCATTGCCCATCCGTAGAGGTTGTTCGCGTCCATATAAGGGCTGTACTTGTTCGCTTTTTGGGGATTGTAGTTAGCCATGTACTTATTGTTGGCTATGGAATGCCTTTTGGTAATGGTCCTAATTCCACCCCGAATACCTCTTTCGATGAATAGATACTTGTCTGGATCGGAAATACGCTCCAATTCCACCCCAGTTAGCTTTAGGGAGGCATCCAAGCGAGTCCTGGTGCTGTATAGTACCATAAGGGGTCCAGCCCATAGTTTACCCTGCAAACCTTCCTGAAATTTTCCATCACATCTGTCAGGAGGAGGGCGTCCGTTTTAAGGTATAGGTCGTGGTAGTCCCTCATGGTTGTCATGTTAAAAGTGTTCCACATGTTCCTTGCCCTCTTATAGTCTGCATCGCTGATGTTTTCGTTGTTTAATCTGCTGAAGAATTTGCTCTTGGGTGGAAGTGACGCTTCTCCGAGCTTATCGAATCCATCCATGTACTCATAGGGGTAAACACCGTTCTGTCTGAGCATCCCTTGCTGTTCCTTGGTATAATGGGTTGTCATTAGGTCCAGATTCCTGAAGTCGTCCTACCTATACCCTTGGCGAGCTTACCCAGGGAACTTGCCATCAATTTGAATGAGTCCAGGAACCTTAGCTCTCTTTTGATCTTCCTTTTCTTGCCGTCCTTGCTCTTGAACTCACCGACCTCTATTTCCTTGGTGAAGGAGATGTATTTCTCTTCCGTTTTAGGAATACACTTGATATTCCCACTGCTTACCCCAAGGTTCCTGATAAATTAGTGAGCATCGTACCCTTCGAGGTTATGGAAGAGCACTGGGATGAATTTTGGTTGCTTCATTTTGAGGTTGCACGTATTATGTGCCGCACCCCTGTATTTGCCTGTGTAGAGGCAGCGGTCGTTAACCTTGTAGTCCTTCAGGGTGAATTCTCCCTTACATATGTAACAGATGGTTACTTCTTCATGGTTTTTGGTATTCCTAGGCGTCATCCTGATAGGCTCTTTGAACCTGAACTTGTTGTAGATATCTCGGGTTTCCTCTTCCAACATGTCCACGAATTTTTTGGTGATGTCTTCCCCTCGTATTGCTGGGTATAGTGTACCAGCTTAGGCATGTAGATGGTGTTGTCGAAGCATTTGACGTAATAGCAGAATCCGCTAGGGTTGTGTTTCTGGTACTGAGCGGTGCTCGACTCGTCGGGGTTCTGTTCCTTTACGTTCAATTCTTTGATATAACACTCGAAGTCCGCATAAATGGCGAATGGGGCGGTTTATGTTTTCCCATAGTTTTCGAACCTTGTGGTACTTCCAGATTTTCGGTATTCGTGCCTTTGGTATTCGTTGTTCGAACATAGCTCTAAATGCTTCTCTAGGAGCTCATTTGATCCGAATGGGTTGAGGCAACGGTTGCAGATGTATTTTTTGTGTTCCTTCTTGTTGATCTGTGAGCTTACAAGCCTCGACATGTCCTTGATGCCACTATAATGGTTCTTCCACAGGAAGAGGTTTATGGAATCGGTTTTACTGGATATTCGTAAGGGGTATACCTTGTGGCTTTCGTCGACACTGAATACGTTAACACCGATATTGTAGTTCTTTTCAATTAACTTTTTGATGTCATTTAGGTGTGTTGGGAACTCAGTCTCTACCCAGTTTAAACTTTTGGACTGTTCCTTAAGAGAAATTTGGAAAGAGTACTTGGTCTTCTTTATTTTTTTGAAATTATGTTCTTTTGAGCATTTAGCTTAGTATACAAGTAACGTAAGAAAAACAAACAGTTTCGGTTTGTAAGAAACTGGTGTTAAGGGGGGGAGGGGAAGAGAGGCGGGTGGGGAGGGGGGAGCTACTGTGCTCTAATACTGTTTATATTGATTATTCTTGGAGTTTTTTGATCATGGCAAGAAACAAATTGTACGTCCTTCTTGCAGAAGCTTATCATTTTTGCAATTTAAATAAAAACAGAAAGGTGTAAGATAAATCTCAAATCAATAACTTTGAAATATTATATTAGTTTAAAGATGCTGTAAAGTCCGTTCTGGGCATCAGTTCTTCTCATAACAAAGGGGACCCGCAGATATAAACATTGCCAAAATTTTGCATCTTTCTAATTTTTCGAATTGAAACGTGGAGTTTATATAATTTACAAGCATAGCGAACCAGAAAAGTGTTAGATATTCAATTAGTATATTAACATGTCTTACAAATATAGCAGTTCAAAAATATGTAAACAAAGCGTTTGTTCACATTTATAAGGACTTTACAGCATCTTTAAAGACCATAATTGATAAATTTGTTAAGTTCAAA